ACTGTGTACGGGGGAGTTTGGGGAGATAAAGCAGAAAAAAAAAAGACTGGCAACAGTTGTTAACCCAGGTGCCAATCCTTATTAAAAAAAAAAAAAAAAGGAAGATTGGCAACAGTTGTTAGCCTAGGTGCCAATCTTTAAAAAAAAATTTAAAAATTAAAAAAAAGAATTTTTACTAGTTTTGTTTCTTTTATGAAATTGGTAATGATGCGGGGCTCCGTGAGCCGAGGAGTCGAAAGAAAGATTTCTTGGACTCTCAAGATCTGGCAGTAGTGCTCTTTTATTTAGAGAATAGAATAGCATGGGGACAGGGCCCATGGGCAGGCAGAGCTGGTGCGTGGAGACAGGACCCACGGGCAGTCAGAGCTCCTGCTGCTGCCCCGAGTTGAGGGTTAGCGCTAATTTTATAAGGCATGGGTATGTGAGTCATTTCTTTACAAAACAAAGGAAAGAACACGAAAAAAAGTTAAAATGGTATTATTGCAGGTGGGGTCTGGTCGTTGGGTGATCCCATGACTTTTAGACAAGAATCAAATCGGATTAAGTAAAGGTCAGAAGCCACCACCCTAAATCAGTTACATGAGATTGCCAGACAGCAACCAACTTAAGTTCTTGCCTTCCCCATTAAGAGTTTCTAGGGATAAGGTTATCTCTCTTCTTCCTGGTACAGAGAGGGAGGCACCTTTTACAGATAGAGATTTACGTTACAAATGTAAATGTGTCCCAACAAGAGCAAGTTCCATTCCTCAGAGCCTCCTTCCCTGTCCCTGTTATCAAAAGCAATCAGCCCCAAACAGTCCCGATGCCAAAGAGACATATCCTGGGGTGGCCAATTTCAGGTCCCTACAAGGTCATCCCCCCTTCCTTCACAAATGCAAATGTCTCTCAAAAGGGCAAGCAGAATTCCAGTCCTCGGAGCCTGCCTCTCATCTGTAGTTTTAAAATTAACCAGCCTAAAAATCCTCATCAGGTAAGACAGTCTATTTTTGCACAAAAGATCTTTAAATATTTTATGCTCTTTACGATCTTCAAATAGTCATCAAAATCATTATGTAATTCTGTAGCAGGTTAACTATGCATTTGTTTTTCTCTATTTTGGAGAACCTTCTACAACTTTACCAACTTTTTTTGCACAACTATTAGATGCAATAAGCATATGAATTTTTTTCCTCATGACCCATCTAAACAGTCTATGTAATGCGATGGCAATCTCCTCAGAGACTTTTGTTCGTTTTTTACCATTTTGTGTGTGTGCCTATGCCCCCATCTCTATGTTCCAAATAGATGAGCGTTTTCATTTTAAATTCCTCCTAGAACCAAGGTCTAGCGGGGCGTCGGGGAACGCGTGGCGTTGACGTCAGTTACGTCCTCGCCCCCAGGGCTTCCCTTGCTGGGTTCGGGATTCTCTGTGCCCGCCCTCCGCCCCTCGGCACCAGCAGCCCAGGGGATCCACCTGCGCACTCAGCTCGGTGGGCCGTCTGCCCATCCTGTGTGCGCCAAGATGGTGCCACACACATAGTAAATACTGAAAAAAAGATAAAAAGTGAATTTTGGTGAAGCATAAATTTGACTAGACTGTCAAGTAATAAAGGAAAATATAGGAATTTAAAATGAATATGTTCTTGATAAATATGTGTAGGCAAAGACTGAATCATTTTTATTTTAATAAATAACTATTGGGTCGATAAAGAACAAGAATCCTATAAAAATGTTCCATATTTTGAATTATATGCACATCCATTATTTCAGGAGCATTCTCATTCACTGATGATGGGAATGTAAATTGGTACAATTGTTATGGGGGGGCAGGTTGGAACATGAACCCCGAGCCTAGAAGTCATGATGATATTTGAATTTATTCTAAGGAAACTATTATAGATATGAACAAATCTTTAGCTACAAGTGTTTTATCACATAGGTGTTGGTAGAAAGTGAAAAATTAAAAACATATAATAGCCCACACGTGACCAGGAGAATGAAGTATATTTCATCAATCCAGTGAAACAATATTCAACCATTAAACATGAGGTTGTGGAAGAGGAGTTAATGAATATGGAAAGATGTTTCTAAATATTATAAATTTTTTAATGTTATTTATAGGGAGTTCTGTTTGTTGAACTAAGGGGAATTATATATCCTGAACGATCTTCCCCAGTGAAAATATTCAACTTGAGTAAAATATAAGATGTATACTTTCAGAACACTGTTCCCTGAAGTGCAAATAATGCATTTATGGAGCCCAAATGAAATGAAAGGAAAGTTAGAAATTAAATGTCGAAGTTGGCTTTCGCCTGAGTTCCTGCTAAACCCTGGAGTTGTGTGAACTTACCCCCCAAGGGCTGCACGGGTGACAGCAGGCAGACTCAGGCTGAGGGCTGCCCTGGGGGATCTATCAGGAGACTCTTCATGGGCCTGGGACCCCGAAGAGCCACACCCTCAGCGTAAGAATAAATGAAAAGTAAGCCCTGTCTTGCACAAGGAGAAGGCACGGAAATCTGCCTGTCTTGTACTTGGACCTAGTCGACGGAACAGAGGTGAAAGAGCAAAGGGCTAAGAAGAGCCAAGACGCCCAGGAACAGAAAACCGGACAGCAGAACTTGCCATCCTCGATATCGAGACTGTTAGAAAGCTGGAGACATTAAGACAGTGTGATACCAGCACAGGGTTAGACCAACAGACTAATGGAACAGGATGATGATAATGCAAGAGTGCATAAATGGTCTTGGCTCGTCAGTGGAGAAGGATGGACTATTCCATGAAGAGTGCTGAGACTATTGCTTATCCATATGGAAAACTGTAATTGGATCTCTGCCCTATATCAAACACTAAAAATAATTTCAGCTGTATTAAGACAAGTGTAAAAGGAAAAACTGTACTAGTTTAAGGAGATAACATTAAAAAAAAATCTTTCTGACCTCGGAATAGGGAAAGATTTCTTGAATAAGTCACAAGAAATGCAAACCACAAAAGAAAATATTGAAATTTCAACTACAAAAAAAATATGAACTTCAGGGCATCAAGTTATATAGCACTGACAATTAATGCAACAGCTACACGCATCTATGTGGGTAAATCTCAAAACATAATCCTGAGTGAAAGGCAGTCATTGAAGATGTTCTACAATATCCTTACATTTATAGGAAGTTTAAAAACAAGAAAAACTAAAAACTCTCTTTTCTTTTAGGAGTTTTATGGTTTCAGTTCTTACATTTGTCTTTAATCCATTTTGAGTTAATTTTCGTGAGTAGTGTAAGAGAGGGCCCTAGTTTCATTCCTTTCCATGTGAATTTCCAGTTTTCCCAGCATTTTTAATGTTAAAATTTGCTTAGAGGAGGGAGTGGAAAGATGGATGCTGAATCCTGAAAAAGGTCGGCCTCACCGTGGTCAGAGGTTAGAAGTGATTTTGATTTTCTTCTTTGCGTTTAGTCTCAGTTTTATGAAGCTCTTACCTCTTGTTTCTATAAAATGATAAAGGTTGTTGATAATGTTTGCAGCGTGTTCATGGTCCTTACCTCCTCCTCTCTGTGGCATAGAATGTGTCATCCTGGTTGGTCCACCGAGAGGGGACGATAGGATCCGCCTTTAATCCTCGGAATCTGTGAGGGTTCTTCCAGCCTAAAGAAAAAACGATTTATGATACTTCTGTTTTCTACCTGCCTCGTCTTGACTCGCGCACGTTAGAAAGTGTCCTATTGGTGAAGCTTTTCAACAACCCAGCAACACTGTTAATGTCATGTATGTCTACAGTTTACAGTAGGTAAAGACTATTGTAATGCACTGAGAGCAAGTAAGCGTGACCTAGGGTCACGGATGGATCCATGAAGTAAATCTATTTTTGTTTCTCCCTCACTTTTTAAACCTGCTTAAGAGGAGTCATCCTTTGCTTGGTCCTCGATTAAAATATGGGAAGGTCCATTGAATTTTCTGATACCACTTGGTTAATAGACACTTCAATTCACAAATACACTCTCAGTTCATTAATTCAAAGAGTTCATTTTAAAATACTAACAACGCTTCCCTCTTCAAGACAGTCGCCCTAACCCAGCCGGGCCTCGCTACGTGAACAGAAGGTTTCAGAAGGAGGTGTGATCTGCCACCGCTGCTTCTCCCCAGCCTCGTGGTTTCTGCCTCCGCGCCCCCACCACATCCTGGATGGGCTTCCTTCGCTCGCACTGTCATCTGGTGGCTTAGTGCTCTCTGGGCCTGGCAGGGACTTAAAGCCAAACTTTTCTCCCATCAGTGCAGGACTGCCAGATTTAGGAAAAAAAGTAATACAGGACACCCAGATAAATTTGAATTCCAGATAAACAGCAAATAATTTTTTACTACATCTCAAATAGTGTTTGTCTGAACTTCAAATATTGCATGGGACTTATACTAAAATATTATTCATTGTTTATCTGACACAAATATAATTAGCTGCCCTACATTTTATCTTTAGGGGGTCCATCAGAGACTCCCCTGCTGGGCACCTCCCAATATCACTCTCTAAACCCAGACCAGGTCTCTCTGTGCACTGGGTACCCCCCTTACCCTCAGATTCTGCCCCAGCCATGAACTGACTGCCTCTTAGAGCTGGGGTCTCTTCAGCTATCAGAATACACTCTGGGAAAGAGGTTCTTTTTTTTTCTGAGCTAACGTCTGTGCCAATCTTCCTCTATTTCGTATGTGGAATGCCACCACAGCATGGCTTGAGCAGCACCCAGGGTCCAAGCCTGCGGACCCCAGGCCACCAAAGCGTAGTGTGAGAACTTAACCGCTAGGCCACCGTGCCAGCCCTGCAAGGTCCCTTTTACACGTCCCGCAGCTGATCCCAGCTCAGGGTGCCACAAGCCGTCCCAGGGACGCACTACCATTCGCCTCGACTCTGGAGGGGTTACAGTTCCTTCTGTAGACCCAGGAGCCGGGCCTGTGTGTTCCCCAAGGTCAGGGAACAATGATCAAGCTTCATTTCTTTCCTCTAGGCTTGAGGTCAGGAGGCAGCAACTCCGTTCACAGCCTTTCCCCTCGGAGGTGGTGTGGAGTGGGGAGAGGGACTTACAGTGCTGTTTTGTCCAAAGAAATGATTCCCATAATATTCTCTTTCAATTTCCACATGCTGAGCCTTTTTAAATCCTAGATTGCAGTCCAGTAACCCCAGAAACAGTTACTCACTCTTTCCTTGGACAGTTTGGATCTTGGTAGTTTGAGTCACAATTAGCTTTGGTATCTTGGAACCCTAGTCAAAATTGCCAAGTTAACATCAGGATGCTACACCAGTGTATATAGATCTCTGTTCAACTCATTCCGTCTTCTTTCTCAACCTACAGCTGTGACTGTCCCAGTGGGTGGAAGGGAGCGTTCTGCACGGAGATGGTTTCCACCTGTGACCCTGAACATGACCCTCCACACAACTGTAGCAAAGGAGCCACTTGTGTTCCATTGCCTCATGGATACACCTGTCGCTGTCCTCTGGGAACCACTGGAATCTACTGTGAACGAGGTGGGGCAGAATTTCAACTCATGCCGTCCACAAATTTAACTAAGTTAATTTCCTTTGGGAAAAGTAAAATGAAATACATATAAAAATAAGAGTCTACTCTCTTTTCTCCCCAGTATATTTCACATTATATTTCACAGATAAGATAGTACTCAAAGTTCAATAGTATAAAAAAACAGCTTTATTTTTTGGAATTGCTTTAATTTATTAACTCTAAACCCCCTGTCTGTTTAGCCTAGATGTTCTAGATGTTTTGTGCTAAATGAAGTCCAATCAAGACTGCATCATAACCTCAGGTTCATAAGGTTCATAACTCAATTCCAGAACAAGTGTCCATCTTTGAGTTTCTTCCTTCTGTATCTTTCACTTGACTTGGAACTCACAAGGCAGGTACGTCAGCTCCTGTGCAAGAGAAGAGAAGTTTGAGGGGAGAAACAGCCCCAAGTCCAGTGGGAACAGTAAGGAGCTGTCAATGTTCCAGGTCTCATCTGTTTTACTGCTCTTCCCTGCACTTCAAGATTGATAATGTCCTTACCACTGGGCGGTCTCCTGAACGCTCCCCACATGGGCTGTAGGGCACTTCTAGATCTGAGCAATCTCCACTTTACAAAAGATCTTCTGGATTTCCTCCACATCACAAACACACTGTAGGGTGGGAGAGGGTAGGTGGAGCAAGGAAGTCTTGTTCCTTCCGTCCTAAATAGAGACAGATCAAAGTCGTCTGTCTACTGTCCTCCTTGCGGCCAGACAGCACAAACTCATTTTCACAGACTGCCACGCCGCAGACACTGGCAGGAGAAGGCGTGTGGTTCTCTACTGCCATCATCCCCAAATTGCAGGCAAGAACTCCACGCTGCATTTCATGCTTTCATCTCCTCCGTGATGTCCCTGACCACCTTCCCCACCCCAGCCCTCTTCTCATAGGCAAGATGGATGGGAGGGTTAGTGGAATGCAGCCACCTTTAAATCTCCTCAGTTGCACCAGAACCCTCTGCTAAAGCTCTAAGAACTCCAAGGGCAAGAAAACACCACAAAACACAAGGTCTAACTGGGGACACTGGAAATGGGGGCTGTGGGGAAAACCAGGAAAGCATATGCTGTTTGAGGTCTCAAGTGATACATCTTCCGTAAGTAAGTTCTTCATATTTCATGTTGTCAGATTTGGTGTAGTCCTACGTATCACAGCAAAATCGTCATCAAAGACCTCCGTAACGCCATGCTCGGAGCCCTGAACGTTCAGTTGTGTAACAGGCCTGGTCGGGTTACTGTGAGGCTAGTGGAATGAATGGCCGGAGTGGACCTGCCCGGCCAGTCCCTTAGAAGCCAGTGGCACAACCCGAATGAGTCTTGCTCCTGCTTCAATTTGCTGCCACCTGGTGGCCATGGTCCTCTTCAGCTTAAACACAATAGAGATGATTCTGGATCCTGGGGCTGGTCGTGAGTTCCAGCATGGCAGCGAATTCAGCAAAGTCACAGTTAAGGAATCTGAGGGATTAAGCCAGAGAAATAAGGGGACATGGGAATCCACCTGCCATCCCCTGGCTTCCTGGGACTGGATGATCTACTATTTGTCTATCCCACCTCACCCTCCACCCGGAAGACAAAGCTTTAGCCTCTAGTTCTCCTGTTTAAGAACAGAGGCCGGGGTAGGAGTACCGGAGTCAATCCCCACTGTGTTATATATACCTGTGCATAATTTGGGGGTTTTATTGTAATATCACATTCATAAAGTGTGGTAAGAACAAATTCAGTCTCTCTCAGATCGCCTTATCAAATATATTAATGCAAACATTTTTTATCTTATATTCTTTGAGATTCCGTGTGTGTTTAACTCTCCTCCCAAAGGCAAAAGCGTTGATAAATGGAAGACATTCAAGGATTAGAATACGGGTGATTTAGCAAAAGAAATTTTTAATTATGTCATAAGGTGTGACTATGAAATAATGAGATGGAGTTTTGTGTCTGGCTTGTGGAAATCAATCTCTTTCATAAAGACATTAGAGCCAGACCTTGATCTTAAGAAATGGCAGTTCTTAGTTCCTGGAATATGCCACACTCTTTTCCTCTGCCTAAAACACTTTCCTCTTCCCCTCCACACCCAGCTAACACTGATTTATCCTCCAGATTTCAGCTCAGACCTTGCTTCTTTAGGGAAGCCTTCCCTGATTCTCTCTCGTAGAACTGAGGGCAGTAACCATGCCTGGTTTTGTTCATGGCTATTAAATCTCTAGCGCCCATCATATAGCACAGAGAAAAATATATCTGTTATACATTTCAACTTAAAAGTTCTGAAATAGGGGCTGGCCCAGTGGTGCAGCGGTTAAGTTCACACATTCTGCTTTTCTGCGGCCCGGGGTTTGCCGGTCCGGATGCCTGGTGCGGACATGGCACCGCTTGGCAAGCCATGCTATGGCAGGCGTCCCACATATAAAGTGGAGGAAGATGGGCACGGATGTTAGCTCAGAGCCAGTCTTCCTCAGCAAAAAGAGGAGGATTGGCAGTAGATGTTAGCTCAGGGCTAATCTTCCTCAAAAAAAAAAGTTCTGAAATAATAAAAACCAACTGTGATAGTTTTCAAGAAACAGTTCTTGACTTCACTGAACAGCAAAGTACTCAAAACTTTACCAAGACGGTGCACTTCTATTATTCCCAAAGAAATAGCTATTAGAAACTGTAAGAAATAGCTGGACAAGTTAACATAAGTCTAGTGAATGTAACAATAGGACAAGCCAGGTTTTTGACTCTTAAAGGCTCAAATGATGAAAGCCTAGGAGATTAACTCGAAGCTTCTTTGGCTGTGTGCATGTATGTATATAAATAGATATTGGTATGTACACAAATAGATATTATAGAGAGTTGACAGGCAGGTAGGTAGATAGATAGGTAGACAGATAGATAGATATAGATAGAGAGATAGAAAGATGGATAATAGATAGATGGAGAAATAGTGAAAGAAATGAAATTAATTCATAGAGTCTAAAAAGTTTGGTAAAAGGTGCCAGAAAAATTGTGTCACTCTCAGAATTCTGAACACAAAGTTGACCACACATATATCCTGCTATGCTATAAAATAAGAGTTTTGTTCCTTTAAAAAAAAGTTATAGAAAATTATATCATAAATGCAGTTGTTTCAATGGGAAAAATTGTTATGTGGGGGATGAGACTATAGAGTTTTAGATTTTGAGCTGAAAGTTATTTTTCTATAGTAATTTCTATAGCAAAGTTGATTTTAATAACTATAAACTATTTGTGGTGAAATAAAAATAATGAAGAGACAGTTTGATCAGAAATGGCAAAAGCTGAAGTCTACGGAAGGTCTGTTTTCTTTATCTCCATTGACCCATTGACTGGGCAATTTTCCAACAGAGTAGCTACAGTACTAAAATTTAATTTATAAAACAAAACAGAGAACAGATAGCAATCAGGCCCCTGAGACCAGGCAGTAGTACACTCCTCCATCTTGTCAATGGATGCATTTTTCTTATTCCCATAGAGTTTGCTCCCAATTGCATCATAATCAGTAGCCATCTGTGACAGTCAGTCATAATTTCTACCCAGTTGACCAAGTTATTGGCACCTAAAATGTAGAAGAAATGCCTAGAGTTCAGTTCACCTTTACTGTGGTTATAAACTGGTATATAAATTACCAAGAAATCCAGTACCAGCATCGTTACACTTACAAATCCCTAACTAATACATGTTCTCTCCCCTTCTGCCTCTTCCACTTCCTCATTTCAAGAAACCCAAAGTCTTGGAAAGGAAACAGTTTGACCATACATGGAACCCCTGACTTACAGCTTTCACACCTACCAAGTTTTATGGCCCCCTTTATTGTAAATAAGCCCCACCGACAATAAGAATCAAAACATCTTTATAATCTCTGAATGACAAGATACCAAAATGCAATTGATTGGCAAATCTGATGAAGCTGTGGGGGTAGGATGGTGAAAGTGTGCCGTTTGCCTCAAAATATTGCCTAGCATTAGTAGTCTTTGTTCTTTTCTCCTCCCCTTGGAGCAATGCTTGGCAGTATGAATAACTTGCTAATTCGTTAACACTGTTTACTAGTTCCAGGCCAAGTGTTGGAATACAGTCTTAATAAGACAGACGAGTGCTCTGCCTCCATAGAAATTACATCCTAATAGGATAAGGCAAGCAAATTACATGCACACCAATCAATGAAGACAAATACAATTGAGTTAATGCCATAAAGGAAATAAATAGAAAGAGGGCATGGAAAGTCATTGGAAAAGTGTATTTTAGGTGGGATGGTCAGGAAAGGCCTCCAAGTGACATCTGAGCTGACATCTAGCAAGAACTAGCCATGTGTGAAAGCACAAGGGGCAAGGCCTTAGGCAGAGGCTAAACCTAGAAACAGCAAAATAATATTCCATGTTTGAGGGATGGAGAGGCAGCCAGTTTCCCCAGCATAGGAGATGGAATCATAAGGTCAACTTGGCAAGGCAAGCAGAAGCCAGATTATGTACAGTCTTGGAAAACGTGGTAAAGAATGTTAATTTCATGCTGAGAAAACAGGAATCCCTTTAAGATTGTAAGCATGAGCCTAAGAAGTCGAAAACTGGAGTTTGAGTCCTGCTGGTTCTAGTAACCAGCAGTTCAGTTTCTGCTGTGTCATTAACTCTCTGAACTTCGATTTCATCATCTGTAAAATGGCAACATGAAGTGTGCCAGCTGCTCTCCATTTGTCCCGCCATCCCCCATTCTGTTCTCACTATCCTTCTCTGCTCTGTACTCTAGAGGTCGCCTCAAATGGATTGTATCCATGGGCAGTCTTTCCCTCTGCTTATGGTTGAGTTTGGCCAAAGGAAGTCACCAGCAGGAGATCAGAGGACAGGAGGAGAGTGAGACAGGGTACTTATTCCCCTAGATTGCTCACCACTAGGTTGCCAAAACTTGCCTTTACCTAAGGACACAGCTTCTGTCAGGAGGTCCTCCCCTTCTTCAACTTCAAGCCTAGGAGTGGAAACAGTTCCCCATGGAGA